ATATCTGCAAAAGTTCATAAATCAATGGCCGTTACATTTTGTGAGCACCACTCACGAAAGGTCAGGACAGTCGACGGAACTGAGGGTCGCGCTTCGTCAGAAGATAGCTGCATGTCATGAAATGTCAACCACCCGTCCATAACTGGCCTTAATTCCACTTCATGCTTACCGAATAAGGTAATAGTGAAAGTAATTTGTGGTTTGACTTTTTTCAAAGTTAATTCAATCTGAAAAACTCCCAACCTTTCGCCGCACCTTATCAGTTCATTATATAATCATCCCAGTTCTGCGGATAAGGGGTGCAATTCACAGTACACATATAAAAATATTTGAAATAAAACCCACATCTAGCCACAGCAGGCATGACCCTGGAACGGTATTACCGTCACGCCCAATGGGGCACGCTATCGGCAAATTGGCCTCGACGGAGCAGAAGCACGCGTCCTGGTCGGTGGCTTGGATACATCTCCGATTATGTAACGAGTCAAATTTACATTTTTTATTTTTACCGCCACCGATTAGCGGCATTTAAAATTTTCGGCATTTTCCTCAATCCTGATTCCTCAAATACTGAAATGCAACCCCACATAGTTTATACTAAATTAGATTATACTAAATGGACAACTCGACTATATATCTGGTCTATGACGTAACGACATATCACTGAGGCTCTGCTGAAATATGTGATATCAAACAACAACAACAACAACAACATCAACAACAACAACAACATGCAAAAACGAACAGCGTTATCACTGCCAAATCACACCGACTTCTCCCACCGATGTCCTCTCACATTCATTCACCCGTATTCCATCTCCCAAGTCCCAAATCTCACTAATGCCCATCCATATTCTACTTTTTCCAACTCCCACCCACCACGCGGCCGGCACCGGTCAGCACGGGGCGCGGGTCCCCGAACACCCATCATTAGCCGGCGCGCTGGAGCCATCGGCGCAGTCCGTCTCTGACTTCTGACCTTTGAGCAGGAGCGGCGCCCGCGGCGATACCAGTCGCGGACGGTCACGTGACCAATCGGCGAGCGTTTGAGGCGCGCCGCCGCCGGCTCCGCTTCGCCACACAGACGATGGGAGTTGGGACGAGTCTATAGGAACCCTGGGGCTGACTTATATCCTTGGGAAAATTTTACATTGCGCGGAGCTCCCGAAACAGCGTTCAATGTTTTTTTTTTAGGTCTGGCTTTTTCCTCAGATTTAAAGAACACTTCGCAATCTTTATGATACAAACTTACTTTGTCATTCACAGCAACACGTAAGTACTTAACCTACGATAAGCTTATGAATAACAATTTGGAAATAAGGGTTTTGGGGAGTACTTCCCCGAGGTGCCCAACACCGGCTCGTTTTGGATTCGTCAATGCCGTGACTGGACTGTGCTAATACACCTTTTTGCGTTGTTCGATGGCCAATCAGCAAAACCCATTCGTCCGATCAGCACATAGGTGGCGCCAGTGAAAGGCATTCCGGCAAAACCTTCAGCATATGGGCAAAACGGAATGCTGATCCCACTCGACAGTTCGTCAGTTGGTATTACCTTCGCTATTCGCCATAACTGATTGAGTTCCGGCAAAACCTTTAACGATTTGGATAAATGCTTCGTCTTTCGTTAATATCCCTTCGCCGTTCACCAAAACATCCCCATGCTAATTTCGGCATTCCTCATAACATTTCGTCAAAACTAAAAACAGATCGCCCCTTTACAGAGAAGTATAAATATGACCGCGTTTATACAGTGCAGTGCGAGGCATAGGTGGCGAAACTTGTAGACCATTGATCTACATAAAAATCGGTAGCGTTCATGAGCGCCATAGGTACAATGTAGATGGACGTAGCTGACATGTTATCGGCTGTTTGAAAAATGGTCAGGCAACAGAGCAACAGGCTGGATAAGTTAACCCCGCCTCAAACACCAAGGAACAGGCAACAGGCTGGATAAGTCAGCCCCGCCCCAAAAACCAAGGTGTCCGGCCGGCAGGGCCCGGCTTGCCATCTGTCAGCCATTCCCTCGCGAGTCCGACCGGCGCGGCCGCCCGAGGCGTTGTCCCATGACATCGCACGGACAGTGACGCGATAATGACGGCTGACTTCGTGGTTTGTATCGAAGCGTTTAGGAGTCCGACGCTCAAGAATCTACATGCCTACTCGGTATGGCGCCGGCAGTCTCCTCGTAGCTATGGTATAACTGCCTTTTTCGGAATTCAATGGTTAATTGGTTGCAAATTGCGCTGGAACTGTCATAAGCCTCATCCCTGAATGCGTGATTAACGTTAAACATTGAATATGGCTAGATAAGCACTACATCATTGACATTTTGATCATTGACGAAAGTTTTAAATAAACAGTCATTGTTTACGCACAGTACCGATGAATTTTGCACATCGACTAACCGTTTTGTGAAATGTCGAAGCATTATGACAATTTGACAAAGTGTTTTGCCTATGACGAACATTGTGCTCAATGACAAAGAGTTATGCAGAATGGTTAAATGGAGTCCAGCCTGTTTTGCCGACCGTCTAACAGTGATGCACATCGCCGATGGGTTATTCTGAATGACGCTTGTCCAAACTGATGCCGAAATGGTTATGACGATTGGCCATCGAACAACGCAAAAAGGTGTATTTCCTGAATTAAGGTTCCTGGCTGAGCCTGAAAGGATGAAAGGAAATCCTGAGGAGTCTGGAGGGAGGACGCTCGTGTGAAAAATCGGGGTCGAATGCGACGTGAATCTGGAAAGAGTTATGGTCGAAAACCCAAAGGAAAAAATTGTTTAAAAAGAGTCCAAGTTGAATCTAGGTTGACAAAAGGTGTATCAGAGAAGAAAGAGTTGTAGGAATTTAGATCGAGTTTGGAGTCCATGTCCAGGCTGTTAGTCCGCAAAGAGTTCGGGGCTGTTCTGTGCATCTTGCGAGCAGCGAGAGCGACAGTACCGGCTGCTTTGGTCCGCACAAAACGCGCCGGACCTGCGGAGGCGGAACTTCCGGGTTGGGCATGCAGGAGAAGAGGGGCGGGGTGTTTAGTTGTGGCGATATCTCGCGTTTGCAGGGTGCCTGGCACTTATTTTGCAGCTGAGCTACGGCAATTATGTTGCATGGATGGTCCACAAAATGGGAGTGATTTGTTGGTGTATCCAAGTTTAATGAAAGGTGCAGGTTAAATGCGCACGAATCATGCATGAGTATTAATCACACTCTGACAAAGGTTGCTAGGCCAATTACCAACGTCATTTACTCATTCCACCCTAGCTGACTTTTAATAAAGCACCAATTGTTATTTGGTCGTGCGGCTCACACCCGGAGGAATGATTCATCCACGACTGGCTTGCCCAAAGTGGTTCTATAAAGTGGAATATTAGAAGAATGAATAACCTGTTGCTCATTTCTATCAGAAATAGAAAAAATAAACCATGGTTTATTTTTTCTATTTCTGATAGAAATGAGCAACAGGTTATTCATCCTTCTAATAATCTTATTAACAATGCTCAGCTCAACGTTCAAATACCTGAAAGTGGAATATATATCAGAAGTTATGACGCGGACATCAAGCATGCAGTGTGATCATCACCGTAAATATGGGTATGGCTACCTCCCAGGTAAATCACCAAAACATGATCCATTCACTTTCATTTAACCTTACGCATATCGTTAACTATGAAGAGTTCTGTAAACAAATGGATATTCTTCGCTTACTGCTTGGTAAAATTATCACGCATAGACCAAGCTGTCAAAACTTTACAATCGCCATATGTCTAATGACATCCTATTCAAACATTATTTTACTTTCCTGACGTTATATTATAATAAAGAAAATCCTCGCGCATCAGCACTGGCCGGTGAGCAGTGCGTATTCTAGAATATGATTACGAGTGAGCGAGCGCAGCGAGCGAAGCGAGTCTTTTCAATATAACGGAAAAATCTCAGTATGATTTGAGATTTTGGGCCGGGCCGGCCCGGGGCCGGCCCGGCCTGTAACGCTTTTGAGAGGCTTATATCTCAGCAACCGCTGGACCGATTGGCCTGCGGTCTTTTTTGCTGGGTAGCCCCATCCCTTCTACCCCGTATTGACTACTTTTGATGCATCTCAGTGACCGTCGTGGCACGTGCCACGTGAAAAGTCAAGGGTGTTCAAGCTGTTTTGCAAAAGAAGTGATTTTGAGAGGCTCATATCTCAGCAGCCACTTGGGCGATTGACTTGCGGTAATTTTTATAGGGTAGCTGCATCCTTTCTACCAAAAATAGGATACTCTCGATGCATGTGGGTCACCCCCAGTGCACGTGCAAAATACAACAATAAGAGGTGTCAAATTTGTTCCCATTTTAATAACTCGGTAATTACTGGGGCGATTTCGCTGAAACTTGGCATACAGGTAGGCACCCACCAGGTAATGCATTCCCATGTGTTGCAGTTAAGGTGCTACTGCACGTGCGCACGTGCAGAATGCCGCTTCCAGATCTCAGGAACGGCTGGGCCGATTGCGTTCAAATTTGGTACACCGCTAGCGACCGGATAGAAGGGTGCTTTGCGCAAGCCCGTTGGAAGTACCCTCTCGCCCTTCCGCACGTGCAGGGCTCACTATCTCGCTCGCTCGTTCTTCGCCCAAAAGGCGTTTTACTGGTAATATTATTGCATTTAGCTCACAGAAGCATAACACGTATAGGAAATGGCAATAAACTGACGGGACAGTGGACATCTAAAATTATAGGTAACCAACAGTCACGCAGTTGGTCATAGATGTGATGGTTGGTCTACAACTACTTAGCTGTCTTCAGGACGACTTACTTTTTCCATGGTATCATCCTCCGTTTCCAGGAAAATATAAATCACACTGAACTTCAATTATGGTCTCAAATTCCCGGCTGCGACTCAAACGTACACAATCCATGCTTAGGCGTTGCGGCGCAGCATACCACTTCAGGCGCTCACTACTAACGCCATCTATGAGCAGCCCTCCCAGTGAACCGCACTCGACGAATAAGCACTCACCTCTTCACCCTTCTGCTGTGCCTGGAAGTTGCAGATGGCCAGGGAGCCATTGATGAAGTCGTTTTGTACATCCACGATCAAAAACGCGGACACCGGCCGAACAATCTGACAAGAAAACAAACGATAAGTGATGCTGTCAACGTCTGACCGCTTATCTCAAACTTAAAACATAATCGCCCCGTGATAAACACAATTTGCAGCCACGAATGGATCACGTTCTAAGAAAGCTTTATGTGTATTGTCTAGCCTGTCTTAGTTGTGACGTCCCGGGACTAAAGCTAATGTGAAGTCTAGACTTTCGTTTTGTAATTCATCAGACCTCCGTAACGTCATGGCACCATAGCCCGTGTTTCTAACGACAGGGGCGTTTCTGAGAACAGCTCAATTGTGTTGGAAAAATAGCCGTCAGAGGCCATGAATACAGCGCGGTAGCGTAGCGGCACGCGGCCATAAAAATGTTGCGTTTGGACCGGCCATCGTACACGCTCAATCAGTGGACTGGTACGGAATACAATAGCAGCGGCAGAAAGACAAATGGAAACCAAAATAGAACTGCACGGCCGCCACGAACACTAAATATAACTCAGGAAATGGAAAATGGGACTGAGACTGTACTGGAATAGAATCCTGAGCAGTGCATTGATATGTCATTCGTTGCTGCATCGCAGGAATATTTCAGGATGGCGTCGAGGTTACGTAGCGCCGTTAGTCAAACATGTTATTTCATTTCACGTCTTCGGTTGGAAACAGGTTCGATATGTGAACATCATACGCTCAGATGTTCCCCTTTATAACGTACATTATCGTGCCGTGGCTTGGATATATCAATTAAGTTCATCATGTTCGATTCTAAATCGCTAAACAAACTCTTAATGACTCAGGCGTTGCCCTATGTACGTACAATCGCGCCTCGTAGGACCCCTCGCTCTAAGCTAACCACTTACCGTTTTGATCCATTTGCTCCAGCACATCTTGAACTCCTCCCGGTCGAGATAACCGTCCTGAAAAAGGGTATGTAGGTAGTAGGTACCCTATGTAATACGCATTGAGATCGCGATTTCGTAAATATCCAGAAAGAGAGGGAGAGATAGGTAGATAGAAAGAGAGAGAGAGAGAGAGAGAGAGAGAGAGAGAGAGAGAGAGAGAGGGAGAGAGAGAGAGAGAGGGAAGAGTGAAAGAAAGAGAGAGAAATCTTCAATATGATAAACAGAGGAAACCCAGTCTTCGAACTGTTGACGAAATGGTCACGACTCACGTCTCATGCGTATAAATTTATTGTTTTTAGTTTGTGTTTATACAGGATTTAATTTCCAGCAAAAATTTCAAGCTGAATGAAAAACGGGGTACATTACCTACAAAACTGCTCTAAAGTGGCGTGTCTTTGTTTTCGGAAACTGAAATTAGTGTCAAACAATTTTTAATCAGCATTGCTACGCTTACGATGCAATAAGTTCCTACGTGTATGCGGAATCAATGCTGACAAGAGAGCTATGATGGTTTTTCTTTGCTGCTTATTGCGAAATGAAAGCCTATCTAATTTGTTTAATCTCAATGCCTGTCAAAGCCACGCATTGAAACCTACCTCATTTTTGTCGAAGACGCTGAACATTTCGGCCAGCTTTCTGGCGTCCAGATGGTAGGGCTTGCCGACGTCGTTTCTGAAGAGGGCTCGACACAGCCCTCCGAACTCAACGACACTCATCCTGTCATCCCTGTGGATTTAAGTTCAGACAGGTTATACCGGGTGGCCCAGAAAAAAACGTTCCCAATTTTAAATATATATTTCTCAGAAAGTGATAAAGATGCAACATTGAAACTTCCAATAGTCAATGCGGCATATATTTTCAGCAAATGGTATGATTTTATGTTATTCGGTCGATTACTTTTTAACCCTCGCCGGCAGGGCTGCGGAGTCGATGAATTTTCGGCGACTACGACTCCGACTCCGACTCCGGCTTTCAAAAACCAGCTCCGACTCCGACTCCGACTCCGGGCAGAATTGTCGACTCCGACCGACTCCAACTCCCGACTCCGACTCCACAGACCTAGCAGGGCTGCGGAGTCGACAGATTTTCGGTGACTCCGACTCCGACTCCGGCTCGGGTTTCTAAAATCGACTCCGACTCCGACTCCGACTCCGGTCACAACTGTCGACTCCGACCGACTCCGACTCCGACTCCGACTCCGACTCCGCAGCCCTGCTCGCCGGACCTATTGGTTTTCTACATACGCGCCGGCCGAGGGGGGGGGGCGGGTACGACCCCCCCTCGCCGTTTCGCCCCTGGTGGAGCTAGCGCGTCGCGGAAAAAACGAGCGTGTGCGCCGTTACGAGACGCAGAGATTGGTACCCGATTTTAAGGTCCTAGGTCAACCGGTGACCTCTGAGGTCAGGTCAAGTGCCCCAGGGTACGGTTCAGTTTTTGGTGAATAACTTCGCAAAAAACGGCCGCAGAGCCGCGATTTTGGCAGCATCGTGTTCGCCTCGCTCAGGCGCGTCGAATGATATACTTTTTGTTCGGGTCAGGTCAACTTGGGGTGTTGACCTCAGGTCAAGGTCAGGTCAGCACCCTAAGGTCACGAAGTTGGTCGAAAGAGGTCATGTCGCATATCATTCGATTCGGCAGGTCTTCCTGAGTCCATTGGTGGCTTCCCCGACTCGCTAGCTCAATTTGATCAAGAGTTATTGACGAAAAACTAATATGACCTTGATGACGTCATAAATGACGTCACGCAAGGTCAACAATGCAAAAGTGACGCATCTAACCTTGCAAGGAGTGCATCAAATCACGATTCTGTGTGCTTGAGATAGTTGGAGATCGTTCCCGGCGCCAGAATAGCAGTTTGAATTTTTCCCCATTGACTTATAATGGTGAGGTCACGAAAATGACCTGACCTCATATGACCTTTAGGAAAAATCCGAGATATACAAGTTGTGAGAATCATAATGGATACTAGATCCTGCAAGTTTCATTTCCCTGTGACATCTCCTCTGGCAGTGAGGGCGTTGCGAAGTTGCGACATCTGAAGACCGTGCAGAGGTTCACTTATGACGTCATAGGTCAGTGACCTGACCTGACCCAAAAATGCGGTTGGTGTCAAAAGATGCGGCTTGGATCAAAGGTCAGGTATGCCAAGTTTCAGCTCTCCATCGCCAGCGTGTTCGGAGCTATCGCGAAAAAACCCTATGGGGGGGCGGCACCCGCCCCCCCCCCTCGGCCGGCGAGGGTTAAAAGGTTCGTGTTTCTAGCATGCCATGTAAAAATCACTTTCTTTGCTCAGATGTTTACTAAAAATGTGAGTGAACGGGCCACTTACACTCGGCATCACGGCCTGCAGCCATGACTGCTACTGGCAACTAGCCTCATTGATGGTTCAGGCCTCAGGGTGACACATTCCCTCTAGCTTTTTTTCCTTATTCGGTCGATTTACTATTTGATCTTCTTGAAGGGAGGGCGATCAGCAGTAGCCCATGCACCGTGCCGCTCATTCTCTTCAAAACAGGACTTGTGTTGAAACGAATGACATCCATTAACGCAATTTTGGCTTAGCATTTGAATATTTGGCAGTTGGCACATAAGTGGGAAAAAATATTTAAAATAACAGCACACGTGCTGGTATCATTCACGCGTTCTATTTTTCTATTTTTTCTAACATGGTACGTCTAAGCCAATCATTACTTCCGTTCAACAACGGCAAAAAGCAAAAACGTCTTACTTAATTCAACATAAGATTGCTGGCTTGAAAATGATGGTACAGTGTTATAATTTGGCATACCAATGCGCAAAGAAGTGACGCAACCTTGATTAAAATTTTGGCTCGTTATTTGCGCTCGAATTTGAGATATAGGCCTCCAAAGTTCGGAACGTTTTTTTTTGGGGCCACCCGGTATACCGGGAGTGCGTGGTTGTCAAAATGTTTTCCGTTTGCTTGAATTAGGTAACACTTCGATGCGTTTGGCAAAAGAGGCATTCAATAGCCATAGAACTAACCTGATTCATTAGCACCGGCCGATCTATGTAAGAAGGGACATGTGAAGCTATTCTCCCCTCCCGCAATATCTTAACTGATACGATTGCGTCGTTTCCGTGGCTTAAACCAAAAGAACTGTGAGACTGCCTTGCTAGAACAAGACATTGTTGGCTATGGGTTGCACAAATAAGATATATTTGGTTAGGCTAATTTTGATTGATAATTTACTTTAATTGGAGATCTTGCTAAATGCTATTATTAGCGTCCAATATCTCCTTTTGGAAACCGCCATTGATAATCAATAAATAATAAGTTTAATTAGTAGCAATTCTTATGTTTTCCCTTTTTTATATAAGGCGTTATTTATAAGCAAAGGCCTAATTACACATTATTCCTATGAAGTGAATACATCCAGTGAGTACATTTAATTTTATTATTGCTAAATGTAATTATCTTGTTAAAACAGAGAAATTGGAACCCAATCTAACTCGAAACCTGAACACACACTCTGAAGAATAGCCTGCCGTAACTGGAGATTGCAATGCACCTCAATTTGCGCACCTAATTGCATGACATAATGGCCGTTTTCACGACGGACTATCCGGTGAGTGCACCTAATTTGACCAAATCTGCACCTAATCTCTTTTACAGCAAATATCTTTATTTTATGAATTTATTTCAGTGTTTTAATCGGTGATACTCTCTGATAATTTATGACAAAGCAGGCATAGTTCGTTCTCAGTATTATTACAAACATTTCCTAAATTAGGACAAAAATTTAGGAGATCTTTTTTCATGACAATTTTTCAGATATTCATATGTAGATACTTGCGGTAAAAACTTAAAGATGTCGAACAAGCCCCCCAATCTCGTTCTTACCGGTCTTTGTCGAAGGCGGTGAAGCAGGCATTCATGCTGTCATCTGGTGTGAGGTGGTCCTCGTGGCCGCCAAAGAAGCAGACCTCCTCGCCCAGACCTCCGCTCATGGCTTCCTGCTTCCTACTGTTCCGGCTGTCTGTGTCGGCAGAGACACCCGTTCTGATCGGCCCCTCCCCGCTGCCCGGATCCCCTCCCCCCAGCGCCCGGTGGGCCTGCGCGCTCCGGCTGCAGCGGGGCAGGTGAGCAGGGGCGGATCTAAGAACAGGTGGGGGTGGGGCGGCAAACTGATACAAGGATGGATCCGACGTCATTTTCTGACAAGTGTCATTAAGACACTCCAATTGTATCTAAGCATTCATCCAATATTTCACCGACCCTGGCAACGCTCTTGATTCCAGCCCTCCCCAGCTTTTGGCCATCCGAACAACGAACTCAACACCACTCAGCCCTACATCACCTCCTGCGCGACATCTCTCCAATCGACGCGAACTGAATCTTCCCCTACCACCCCTAGATGTCTCTGCCGTCGGCCGGTCTATTGATCCGCCCTCTCGGCGGTCCGCCCGAGCGCAGCGCCGACGCGGCGGCGGCGGCGGCGGCGGCGGGACCGGACCGTCTCGGCTCGGTCGAGTGCGACACCGACGGTGGTCGGCGCGACGCGTCCAGTCATCGATCTCGACGGGCCAGTCTGGCGCACAGGTGGGTGCCGCCGTGAGCCGGAGGGATCAGCTCCAGGTGAGTCCAGCGCACAGGGTTCCTCCGGAGGTCCCAGGGGTGAGAGGTGGTGGGGTGTAACAGAGAAGATTGGTGAGGATAGATAAGAGCTAGGTGCAACATTGCATATGTGTGTGACATTTAATTGTTTTGGTAAGCAATGAACATACGGTTTACAAATGTCCGACTGTGACTTCGAGGGCGTATCACTGGCGAATAAAGTTCAATAAGTGCGCTTACTTGCTAGGCAGCTTAGTTATCAGATTATATCGAGAGATGAGCGTCAAATACAAATTGCACACTTTTTACGTTTAAATAACTGCATGCAAAAATGCATAGGAGCTAGTTTTGAAGTTATTGGTTCAAACATTGCAGCCCAGGGAATCTCGCTAAGTTAAGTGCCTCTTATCTTATTATCTTATTTACGTCTCCTCGTTCATGATATTTAGATAACGTTCTCATGCATGTTACACTCAAAACAGCAAACTGACCAATCTACCAAAGCGTTCATTCTGTCCGGCCTTCGACAGCGTATGACGGGTATTCGTAAATATGTCCGAACCTTTGCATGCAAAACGAGCATCTCTTATTCTTTTTTTCACTGCTGTGACGTGTGCAACAACGGGTGAACTTGTTGACGAGTGGGAGATGACTGGCATTCATATGAGGCAAACAGGAAACAAGACCGTTTACCCCGATAATCGACATCGTATAGTGAAAGCTTTGCACAATCTGTAGGTGGTTAAATCATCAGCCAAGTCAACAAACGAACAGTTGTCAATACAAGTGGCCATAGGTAGGTACAGTCTGTCTTAAAAGTACCGCGCAAAGTAACGGTAGATCCATCAAGCCTGACCGAGGAAGGACTGCTAAATTTGAGTCACCGAAGAAATGGACATCCTCGTCCATTCCCCAGGTCAATTGGTTCGGTGACTTTCAAAATATAGCGGGCCCTTCCTCGGTCAGGCTTGATGGATCCACCGTTACTTTGCGCGGTATTTTACTTTACGCGGTACGGACAGACTGTGCATCAAGTTTGTTAATTTATGTTTCAATACAGCTGGTCATACATATAACTATTTAATTTATGTATGTACATTAGCTACACCTATCCGGGACATTTCATACATGTTCAATATTTTCTTATAAGCACTTTGCACCTCGAGGCTCGAAATTAACAGTAG